CGCAAACCCCGCCCCGCCCCGCCGCCCCCGCATCCGCTTCACTCCCCGTCAGCTCGACTCCCCGATCCTGCCCCGCGCCCGCCCGCACTCCCCGCCGCCCGCGAAGAAGACTTCCCCGTCCGTCTCCGACATGATTCACTCGCTCCAGTCGCAGACCAGCGACGCCTTGGGACGTCGCAGAGAGAAGGAGAGGCGCTTTGTCGAGCTGTCGCAGAAGCCGGTCAACATGCACCCGGATGTTGCACAAGTGGAAAGTCCGGAAAGGACACCGCCGAAAGTGCCCACCATGCGAACACACTCCTCGTTCGGGAGTGGGCCCATGGCAGTCAGAGGGTACGAGGGGGAGGCCATTATGTTTGCCGGGAGGAGGCATAGAGGACGCGCTATCACTTCGGCTTAATGTCTGCCCCGCCCTATCCGCCTGGGACAATGGCACTGCGGCTCGGTGCCATGCGGAGATCCCCTCAAGTTGAGCCCATTTTGTGGGAACCAACACGTCCGTGAAGGGCTCATGTTTCGCATGCTTGCCTTCTTCACAGATCGCAACGCCCGTCTTGGTCGACACTAGGGGTAACAGCTTCCATTTGTGCTCCTACTATTTCGGCTCCATCCCGTCAAAACTATCGCGCTTTTTTGGAAGCAACCGTTCGTGGGTCTTCTTTACTCACGGCAGAAGCATGTGAGCATTGCACGCTTGCATGTTCATAGTACGACAAATCACCACCTTTGTAGAGCGTGGTTTTGTCCTTTTAGCCTCATAGGGTTGTACATACCTAGTAAAATCAACTAGACAGAGGAATCGGCTTAAGGACTGTCCTGATCGATGTCCAGCTGCATTTCCGCAATCTCATTGATCGCGTTGAATGAAAGTTTCGCCCATCCCCTCTCCGGAAATGTTAACTGACTCGCTTGCTAGTTTACGTAAAGTGACTCTTTTTCCATTCATCGCCACACTTGTTCGCTGGGTTACTTGTACACCTGCCGCAATACCCATCGCCGGATCGATAGACCGAGTTTTACTTGTTACGACCTTAAAGAAAGAAACTTAATCAGGTTAGCGTTCACGCAAGCAAAATCTCCGCTCCCAATTTTCTCATTCTCTCACGGTAACGGCTGGTTGCCCGACGGCATTCTTCGTTCTGTCGAACCACTCAGCAAGCTCTTCGTTCTTCCTCTTGACCTCCGTGAAAGTATCAAAGGTTTCAATGCTCTTGAGCACACCGTAGACGCTCAAATCTGCGACGCCAGGACTCTCCCTCCCCTCCAAAAACTTGCCACCCCCCTTCTTAATCGCCTCCGTCCACTCCTGCAAAGCTCCCAAAATAGCCTCCCGTTCGTCATCAATACCATACTTGTTCTTCAATTTCCTCGCGACAAAGTACATCGCGATTGCCCCAGAATATCGGATCGTCCCCCGCTGCCAAGACGAGAACTTGGCATTATCCGCGATGTAGTCAAATGTCTGCAAGCTCTCATTCATCGTCCGGTATATGTTCGGGGCGACTAAATGGATGAGCTTATCATCCAGCCACGTGAGCCACTGTCGCTCCACCTCGCTGGGCTTGGCGTGGCCGCCGTGCTCCATGAGTGCCGCGACGCGCTCGATAACGGCGCCCGAGCCGTTCACTTGCTCACCGTTAACGATGGCGATCGGGACCTTCCTGTAGGACTTGTCAAACTTTGCCAACTCCGTCTTGCGCAGCGGATCGACTTCAACGACGCGATACGGAAGATCATGGAAGTCTAAGTAGGCGCGGACTTTGTTGCAAAACGGGCAGACCTCATACTGGTACAAAACAATCTCCGGGGTCCTTTTGACGTCAGACGCAGCGGGCGCAGAAGCGGCTGTAGAATATTCGGCGAGCGCCGAGACGCGACGTGCCTGTGAGGCGAGGGCAAAGGTTGTTGCAGCCGATGAGGCACAGATCAGCAATGCTGCGGGCCTTGACAGTCGGGAGGCAGACTCCTGGGAAGAGGTGGTCCTGTAACGCCCTCGAGTGAGTGCGGGCTGAGAATTTAGGGCGGTGGACAGGGCGCGGAAGGGGGCGGATCGCTGGGTGACTGCATGTGAAAATGAGGAGTTGAATAGACGCGAAGCGCGTGTTAGCGCATTCATCGCGGGCTTGCAAGCCGATCAGCGACGGTGCTGGTGTTGTCGCCGATGGCGGCGTTGTGGAATGCTGGGCGCGTTGGATGAACAAGGAGCAAGCGCAAGATCGGAAGGAGATCGGTAACAAAGACGAGAGAAGAGTCTCGCTGCGTGCAACGTCAGCACGGCTCCGTGAGGGACAAGTGGGGTCCGGCGATAGGGATTATCATACTACAGAGGACATGATAAAGTGTTTTCAGATGCTACAGAGGACAAACTGTCCTTGAGTGCTGCTCAGTGCCCACTCAGCGATATGGCGCGTGGGACGGCACACCGCGGCCGCTGGGTTTGTTTATGGACCGGGCAGCCGTGCTCATTCTTGTTTAGAAGGCTTGTTTGTGGACCGGGCAGCCGTGCTCATTCTTGTTTTTTAGAAGGTTTGTTTGTGGACCGGGCATGTATGGACCGGGCAGCCGTGCTCATTCTTGTTTTTTAGAAGGTTTGTTTGTGGACCGGGCATGTATGGACCGGGCAGCCGTGCTCATTCTTGTTTAGAAGGCTTGTTTGTGGACCGGGCAGCCGTGCTCATTCTTGTTTAGAAAGGAAATCCCATCTGTACAGAGGGGCTGACCGGAATACATACCAACAAGTCCAACTGTGAACGGTGACAGCAGAGAGTAAGACTGCGGTGATGAACGTGAGGTTGTCAAGAGCCCAGAACAGGTCAAATTCAACGGTTTTCGAAGTATCATGTGATACTTTCCCGCGCTGCAATGAGCCGGACCAAAGGACCAAGGGGGCTGGTCCATCTTCGCGGGGCCCGCGGCCCCACATCTACTGCTCAAAAATCAAAAGAAGACGAGCTACGGCAGGCCAGTGTCGCCGTAACATCCTCTGAGAGTTGGACCGGAGAGTAGATATCCCCGTTTTTCCCTCGTTTTCTTCGCATCGCAACGCTTGCGATACCCAATCCTTTCGCGCATACTCAGTAACATTATCATCTATTTATCACCATACTCCGTTACTCTTTAATTGGAAAAATAGTACAACCCCGCACATCCGTGGAGTTGCATTTTCTCAAGAGTTTAAGCGGGGCGGGGCAGTATTAGGTATTCTATGTGTGAAATAAGAATATCTATGGGGTCCCACATCGTGTATTTCCCCCACCTATCCTTGTATCGCGGTTTTCTCTGCACTGCGTGACCCTCTCAGACGGGAACGTCTCTGTGCGCGTAAAGAACAACTCGGCACTTAGAGCTTCGGACCAGTGGGAACGAACGGTTGTATGAATGCCGGCCTCTGCTTGATTTTATCAAGATACCCGCGCACAGCGCGGTCCGTGATGAGTTCAAGTCCGACGCAGTCACCGAGCATGAGCAGATATGCAAAGATAATATCGGCGATCGTGTATTGCCCTGCGGCATAGAACTCTTTCCCCTTCAGTTCGGTCGCCAGATGATCCACCAGAATCTCCTTGTACTCGGCGGCCGCTTCGGCAATTTGCTCCTTATCTTGTTGCTCCGGAGGAGTGTCTACAATCAATCCGTACAGAGCCACTCCTCTGCGGTAGCACTCTGTCAGTCCATAGAACATCCCTTGAAACATACGCGGTCTGTCGGGGTGTTCCAGGGGCAGGTGCAGCGCGTGCTTCTCGTCATATCGCTCCAGCAGATACATCACGATAGCCCCCACCTCCAGGAGCGCGCTTCCATCAGGCATCGCCAAAGCAGGAACCACACTGCGCGGAGAGATTTGCGCTATCTCCTTCGACTCGGCGAGCTGCGTCGCAGAAATCTCCGCGATTGTGAACTTCTGCGAAGGTACCCCCAGCTCAGAGGACACTATGATCGGAATCGTGGAGCAGCACAGCGGCACATGGTAAAGGGTCGGCACGGAAGGCACCACGTACCCAGATTCCTTCATTCTGAGATCCCAAGTGAGTAACAGATGGGCAACTTAGGCCACCGTGTTGTAGAGCTACGGATGCAGAACTGTCACCTTCACGATGTTTTTGGCTGAGTTTTATACTTGCCCGACTGGAAATGGGGGAAGGGCTCCGCGCACAGCCCGTCTACGAAGCTGTCGGATTCAATCCAGCTTAGCAATGCATCTGCCACGGTCATTGCTATTCATGCATGAGGGGTGCGTGCGGTCACGGAACAGTTTAGTTTCGTGTCCCGACTGTGATACCCGTCTGAAGCGGATAGACTCCCATGTGTAAATATATTGTAAAAGTTCCTGGCCTAATACTTGTTGTTGTCGATGACGGCCAGTCAGTCTTTTAAACGAAAACAGTCAACTACAGCCTGTGGTGTGGAATTGGGCTTGGCGCGTGCGCCATTATATCGCAATTATGTCGACTACAGCATGCTCCATCCACTTTTTATAGGGCACATCACTTTCGCAATACACGATTACATCATGCACAACTTCATGCCATCACTTGCTGCTGCTGCCTAACATTTGACTTGATGAGGTGTATGGGTGTCACAAATGTCGTCCGCTACTGTTTAACTACGTGTACCGTCGGCAGCGAGGAAAAAAAAACTCATGACATCCATTTGGGTCTATATGTGGAATGACAAGGAGAGCACTGCTTGTTTTCGACTGACGATAAGTTCACATATGAGCGGTGTTCCGAATTAACTGCCTTTCGACAGTTATGCTAGACGGAGCAAGCACAAGGTGCGTGGCAGGGGCCTCCCTCGTTTTGTCGGAATTATCGCAGAAGAAATGTCACATACGCTCTAGCTATACAAGACCAGCAGGAGGGAGGGGACGCGGTCTAACCGTCCGGGCGACTCCACTAAGGCACAATCATTCTGTCTGAGGAGGAGATCTCATGCGTTACCCTCCTCTGTTGGAGAATCGTCACCAGCGTATAAACAATGCTCTTCTATAAAAGAAATTTTATGGATTTTGTACAGGGGTGGAGCTATAAGGCGACCCCGTACTAAACCTTTCTACTCGCCTTATACCAAAACTCGCCTTCTGCAGTCTCCAGCCTCATCCCCATGGCGGCCTCTGCCGCAAATCCGTTCACTATCTTCGCCGCCAAGCCGAGCCCGACGGCGGCACTGCGTTAGCTTCACCACGTCGTCCTCGTCCTCTCCGCGTAGCACGCCTACAGCTCACTCCGCCTGCCGCCCGGCGCGCTCGCACAGCATGGTCCGCACGACACTTCTCACGCCGCAGTACCCGCCTCGCCGCGAATGCACACGCCCCAATTCGCAAAGAAACGCCAGCCCCCCGGAAGCTCCGCCATACCGTTGAGCTGGTTTGGGCATAGACAACCTGCGTAGCGCTATTCGCTTATCTCATCTAGACCCAAGTGTCATGGCGCGTTCGTCCACGCCTTCAAGTGCTGGTCCTCACAGAAGCAGTCGCGTGGTAGTTGCCGTATATTATTTGTAGTGGGTTGTTCTTCTAGTCAAGACACGAGATCGTACCGCGAACACTGCCAAACGATACGCCCGTGGCAACTGCTTGCGCTGATTCTCGCCTTTCCCTGAACGAGACCTACACGCCTTTCTTTTCTAAAGAGGAGGTGTGGGATGCATCGTGTCTTTGTCCGACATCAGAGTTGCATATGTCACAGATATCGGAATGAACGCCTCCAATTTGCAACAGTCGTTCTGCTCGTGGAGTCTCTTGCAATGGTCTGCACCTGCACCTGCGCCCGCCTCGTCGCTGTCGCCAAACACCGCATGTCAGTAACAGTGCCGAGCCAGCAAGGTCGGCCCTTACCGCATCCGGCCTTACCCATCGTCGCCTTATTACGTTTACGCCTGTACGGATCGAACGAACAAGGATTCTTCAATTCAATCATGGAAAATAATCACGATTGATTCCAACAATCGAATACGTTCGCCGCTGAAATAGACTCGATGCAGTTATCATCAGAGCACCCCTACTGGTTTAGTTATATTTCGAGGTTAAATATGAGAAATTTAGCGTTTGGAGATAGCGATTCTAGGCGCAACACTACACGTGTACCGGTTAGAGGGCAAATTCAAACGTGTTGTGCAGTGATTGGCTCTTTCGGCAGCCGTGGTCATCCAGTACGAGGGATGGTAGTGGTGGTGCTGTACGGATATACTGTGGGGGACGTCTCCGGTTCCCATCTCCTCAAGCCCCACATGACACCATCATGCCCTGGAGGAAGGGCAGGGAGGAGAAGAGGAGGAAAGGGAGAAGGGAAGGCGTCAGGAAGAATGCAGGAGGGTGGCAGTGGCGGGTAAATTCAGCTTAGGATGGGGATGTTGGGGGTGTTCCCTGTGCACAGAGAACATTGCTTGCTCCAAGTCAATAGAATTGGCGTGGGTTTTTGGTAATTTTTCCAAGTGGCGCAATTCTACTCGCATCTCTATTTGCGCAAATGAGTAAATCTGTCTCCATCCGGTCGGCTGCTTGGAGATAGATTTACTCAAAAAGGTAAATTTTTTAGAGATACTCACTCCACTAGAGCTGCTCGTGACCAAATCTATCTCCAAAAATCAAAAATTTACTCATTTACTCTACCACTCGGGGTGCTCTCACTACCAAAGCTCATCTCCAGAAATGCCACTATTTTGATAACCTTTTGCGTTTTGCGATTCTTTAGCTAGTTAGGCCAGTAACAGCGTCAGTTTCTAGGGTTTTGGGACCTCCTCCGTCCCCACTCGCAAGGAATTGCATGAATGCCAAGCGTAACATGGCGTGGAAGCTGCGGATTACTCATAAAGCAAGAAACGCTAGCTGCTCTTCTATGTGATGTTCCAGTGTCTTCAGTGCCTTCCGAAGTGAAGTTCGATGCAAAGCAAGACGGCAACTAGTGTCTAGACGACAAGTGACCTCATATGAGGCTACCTTTCAACCTTTTTTTCTCGACTTGTGCTTGGTCAACAAGAAGGAAAAATATACTCTCGCCACCGCAGTTGACTTGTGCGTTACGGAAGGATAGGGTTTGGTGAGATATGTACGTCTTCTCCAGTCATTTTTAAAATGCCTAAACAAGAAACTTTTTTGACATACCTCAAAACCTTATGTGTTGATATCTTCGAAACCAAAACGCCTGTTTAAAATGTCAACCACCAGGTTTTGAAACTTCTTTGGATTTTTAGTCTGTCAGTGTATTTACAACTGCCACTCCAATGTTTCGCAAGATGTTAATGTCGAGGGCATGTACGTTAAAGAAATGATGTCCAAACTGGCTTTATAAATTTCGATTTAATGTATATATTTTTGCAAAAAAAAGCTGGCCTCATATGAGGCAAATCGCTTGTCGTCTAGTGCTATCGGATCTTTGGTCCGATAGACACTAGACGCTTGGTCGGATAGACACTTGCGTGTCTAGAGTGTCTCTCTGACCAAGCGTTACCATAACATAAAAATCTGCGAATTCTATTTCTTTTCAACTTTGATGGCCACGGTTTCAATTTTTCTTTCGTAGATTGACTAGTTTAAACTTCTTTCTGAAGTTAGAACTGAATAGAAAGCCCTCACTGCAATGTTTCTATGCTACTGGCATAAAATTAGCTTTAAAAAAAATACTTGCTGTAAGCTACCTTTTCTTTTGAACTCCTTTATATGCATCAACGAGTTGGTTTTACTAGAATCGACAAGCAAATGCTTTACCTGTGACTATGTCCTTCTGTTTTAAAACAGATGTGAGATCTCGAGTTTGGTTGTCTAGAAAATAAAATTAGTTTTGTCCTCATATGAGGGCTAACGGTCCGATAGACACTAGCTAGTACTACCTGTCAGAAAAGTTTATTTGCGGAGCAAGTAGCATGGAACTATTTCAATCTCTTCTTTTCCGGCCTTGTTGCTCTGATACGACTTTTGACGCATTAAAGAAGCGTGAAGTGATGGTGACACTTTTCTAGAATTTAACGATGTTTCGATGAAAATACCACCGCTTTCACAAGAGACTGCACCTAAATCTTATGAATTCATGCTTGGAAGAAGTGAGGTCATTGCTCTTAAAGATAGACCTGAATTCGAGGGCGAAATTTTTGATGCAAGAAACCTAGAGCGTCCTAGAGGTAATGTCACCTAAAAACGCACACAGTAATTCAACCATTTAATGCAATAATTTTTACCACCGAATTTTCATCGTCTCTTCGTATGCGCTTATGCTTTGTCAAAGCGATCCACTAAGTCATTTGAATATCGCCATCCTCTATTAAAACCGAAAATAAGGAGTGTTGGTGTACTACGTGCCGAAAATACAATTGGTTTCATCGGGACTCAACCACACTTCAATTTTTGACGTTAAGAAAAGCAGTTGATCAACTGAATGCGACACATCTTGAAAATAACTTCAGAAAGTTCGCCTTTCTGGTATACCAGATTCCAACCTCAACTGTGGAGCACGCAGAAGAAAGAAGTGTCTCAAAAAATAGTCTTTTCTATTTTTACCTTAAAGTTGAGCGATGACCTCTGTTTAGACCGACCCTAGGTTTGATGACTGAACATTGACAGGCTACAAGTTACAGTACTGTATAACATTAATCTGGTCTTGAATGTGAGAAGGAGCCTCATACTTCATAAAAACAGATGACATGCGATCTAGTCTTTAAACTCAAATAGCGTGGTGCGATAAAGTTTGCTTTACTTTCTGCCCTTTCTGTTGGTAGTAGTTGCGTCGACACACATCGCAGCATTTTCATTCAACTACACAATTTTAATCCGTTCTTCGTCCAGTGTTACCTCCGGAGTCCTTCTTCGCCGGCTGCTCTCTCATCGTAGACCTCGAATCTAGAACATGCGTGATCTTGATTCCTGTCAATGAGTTTTCTAGGGGTCTTCAAGTTGATTGGTAAAAGTAGACGAGGGGAAGAACTTGTTGAAGGGGAAGAAATCGGTCGGTTGTAGTACAAGCCGGAAGCAAAAGGAGATGGACAAAGTCCGTTTCATGGGCCGCTCTAAGACCTACGGAAATACTTAAACCAGAGCGCATAGCGTCTTCGTTGCCATTGTTCGATTTCAAAGCAAATTCTCCGCACCTGCGCAGGTCCCATGCGCCAAGTATCCCCCAGGGGTAGTTGCGCTGCCGTTTGAAACAACGAAACGTTCGAGAGGAAGTATTTCAAACTAATGGTATCCTGTGAAGTCCCTGCAAAGAGTGTGCTGCTGTCACTCAAGTGCGCATTAGCTACGACGACGTTTTGCATCTCTAGCCAATGGAGATTGTAAACCATCTTTTGCATCCAATGAAACTGTTACAGCTGTGTCTCTGAGATATTTCGCTGTCCGTTGCGTTAGTACTCGCACTCTTCCACGTCGCCAGTAGGAAGATATTTTGCCGCTTTAGCGCACAGCCGCTGTGTGGAAGCATACCGACGAGCGGCGCCGCCCCTTACACATTACCCCCATCCGCTTCCTTGCGAGACTGCTTTCCCCTTTCCTTTCCCACTCGACACCCCACTCCCCGCCATGGATACTCTCTCCTTCATCTCCGCCGCGCCTCTCTTCGGGCGGCCTCCGGTGCCTCTCCATCCGCGGCGCGGCTCGAGCGCTCCCGGGCCACATCCGCGCACGACGACCTGCAAGTTGCGATTCGGCAGCGACACGCCCTCCGACAGCGACGGCGGGCTGGGCCGATTCCGCGAGTTCACGTCTCGCGACGGCGACCACGGGGTGCAGGACGCGCTTGAGCGGGAGGTGCTGTGGGAAGTGACGCGCACGGCGACGACGCACACGCTGGAGACGACGATCCAAGACGAGCTCAAGGCGGTGTCGGACAGCCTTGCGGACATGTACTCGCGATCCGACCGGGACCTGCCGTCGCGGCAGGAGGAGCTCGCGCGGCGGGCGTCGCTCGCAAACATCTCCAAGTGGAACCAGCAGCTGATCCAGGGGGCCAAGATGTCCAAGTCGAACCGGTCGGAGATCTCCAAGGAGCTCGCCGTCGTGCAGGTCATGCTGCGTCGCAACCGGCGCGGGCGCGAGAAGCGGAGGCGGAGGTCGGCGACGGTCGCGCAGCGGAGGAGGGACGGGGATGTGGGGTACGCGCTGGATGAGGAGGCGGTGAAGCAGGCGTCGAAGCCAATACGGCTGCTGTTTACCGTGATGGTTTGTGTGAGTGCATTGACGGGATTCGAGCATGTCGCGGTGCAGGAGTCGGGGCCGACGCAGCTTGCGAAAGGGGCGGCGGCGTTTTCGTTGGTGCTGTTGACGGGCGCTTGCTGGAGGTCGATTGGAGAGGCCGCGAAGAAGAAGCAAGACAGTTAAGTGATTGTTGATGCTCTCAAAGAGCCAGCAGACCAGCAGACCACCAGTTACGTGCGGCCAGAGACATATCTGCTACCTTTTTGACACGGACGCGTTGCGTGTTGCCTTTTCGTGAGCTCATTCTTGCTCAATCTGGCTTCGCTTCAGCGCGTGAGTGGGGGATCGTATCTTTGTATATTATAATGTTTGAGGTTATACTACGCTGTGATGGTTTTGGGAGTTGACGATATAAACGGGTCCCCTCACACGCTACAAGTTTGTACATACTGAACTTGCCGTCCTAGAGACGTAAAAATCTGCGTTGATACTTTGCGATTAAGGCCTTTTCAGACGGATGCCTTCGATGAGACAACTTGTCTCCCAAACAAAAGCTGTGCAAAAAGATTGGCATGTGCGGAATGCATTTCGCGATTGTTCAACACTGTGGATGGTGGTGTGCGCCCCTGTTCGTTCAGGGAAGTAGGCCATTCATATAAAAAAACGACTCCATCTGGAGCAAGGGTCCGCTGGGAGAATCGAACTCCCGACCTCATCCACCCTAAGGATGAATCATACCACTAGACCAAGCGGACAGCTGCGATATGATCACTGCGTGTACACGTTGAACTTCAGGCAGGGCATGGTACTATTTATTTGATGGAGAAAAGATATTCCCTTATCATACTACAGGGCGAAATTTTAGCAAAAATTAAATTTACCCCCCCAGGGCGAAAAAAATAATAATAATCTAGTGAAAAATAAAGCACGGGCGATGTGATAAAGGGCGATGTGATAAAGGTTTTGTTGGCTGTCCATACATTTGCACTAGTCTGCCACCCCCCTTTACCGAGAGGTTTATGACGTCTCATACGGTAAAGCGTTGAGACGTCATAAACCTCTCGATGAAGGATTTATAGAGGCTATGATGATCAAAGTGCCGCTTCCCTCTTCGCCAGTGTGAGTCCTTGACGCCTGTCCTGCGATAGGGCATCGGCCCCCCCTTGATCTAGTGAAAAATAAAACCACGCACACACGGGGGCCGCTAATAGAAGTGCATGCGAATAATCTTGCCCCCTCGCCTTGTTGGAAACGCGTAGCGCTCGACAATCGACATTTCGCAATTCGGTCAGTGTAACCTTCTTTCTCCCGTTGCGACTTGCGTCGCGGACAAACAACTATTTTTTTTTAATTGCAATTCCTAGAAAAAAAACTAGTTCTTTATGCGCGACGCAAGTCGCAACGGCAGAAAGCGCCTGCTCGATACAGGTTCGATATCCATATAGATGACCGCCTCGTCACATGGATTCCACCGCCTAACTCCTGTGATAAACGTCAACGCAAACGCTGAACACCGCCTTTCGCAGCCGGGCTCAGAACGAAACGGAATGAAGTCTAGAGAAAAGCAGGCGAAATAATATATTTCCACAACTGCTACCGAACTAATCTACTCGAAAGGAGTATCAATCGACTGCCGTTGAAAATACACGGTTGAAAATGATAACTAATCCCTCCCGCTCAACCATGCAGAAACGGCCGCGTACAGTGACAAGGACGGGCACCTCTAGATAGGAATTTGAATACGGCGAGGTCCGTTGCCCTTCTTCAGAGGCACCGTCACATAAAGGATACCGTCACCCTCAACGTCTGCCTCGATAGCGTCGACGTCAGCGCCATGCCCCAGTCTAGTCTGGAGCACATAGATTATTTTAGGTTGAACATCCTTCTTCGTGGCCGGATGTTTTGTCGCTTCCGCGCCGTCTTTTCCTTCTTCTTCAACAACTGTATCATCTTTCCCGGTGCGGTGCTTCTTGAATCGTTTCGCGCTGACAGTCAGCGTGTTGTTCTCGGCCTCTATCGAAATGTCTTCCTTGCACACACCCGGCAGCTCGATTTCGAAATGCGCCCCATCGTCGTCGGATTCGATGCTGAATGTTGGCTCGATTCTTTGGGTATGGCCGCGGTCGGATTCTGTCATGCCCAGTCGGTTGCGAGGCCTCCACATGTCATCGTCAAAGCTACTAAAGGGGGCACTCATGCCGTAATGGAACGGAAGTAGGGAAAACATGGCTTGTGTGTGAAACTTGGAACCGTTGACGTGAAGCAGTTCGCTTGTTAGTTGGTTTGTTGTAAAGGTAGAGATTGTTTTGATGATCGACAGAGCACGGGAGCGGACTGCATGGGAAGGGGTTGTTTATGTAGTCTAGTGTGATATGTGGTGTGACCCCTCCCATCATGGAAATGCGGATGCGAAAGATCTCGAAGATTCCCGACGTCATGCACAGTAAAATAGACTGCATATCTTTATTTTTTTGATCAGTGTTTTTTTCTAGTCTGTCTGTTGGCGGAAACTGTCGAGGCGGGTGGAGCCTTCCGGTTTTTTCTAGAGACATGCCCTCTCGGATCAATGCCGCGCTCATATCGAGTAGTCTGCAATTTATCTTTTCCGCAGCAAACGTGCTGATGCTTTCTTTTACATTTCGGTATACATCATCAGACCAGGAGGAATTAGAATTTCTGCTTCCACCACAAAAGCCAAACCAAATCTTTGGCCTCTTTCTTGATGCAATGTTGCTGCGGGAACGTAAGCACAGAAGAACATTAAACAGGTGCACACAGGCGTGCTTGGACTCCTTCAAGAGAGTTGTGTGAAGAAAAGCAACGACTCTAAAATAACTGACAAGGTACTTATGGACAAAGTTTCCAGGCCACTACGAACGACGAACTCGTCAGAACCGCATGCAAAACGGTGTCCCAGCCCTCAAACCTTCCTGAGAGTTCTCAGAGCTTCGTGAGACCACCCCGTCCCCCTCCCATTCACGCACCAATCTCGACGATTTTAACGACCTTATCGACAAAAGGCACGGTGACAAATAGCAAGCCGTCGCCGCAACAATCGGCCTTGACGCACTCCTTATCCACGGACTCGCCCAACGTGAACTCCAGGAGGTACCTGCACTCGACGAGCGACTCGTCCTTGTGTGTCCTGACAGCGCAGGACCCCGGCTCCCTTTTGTAGCGCGTGCCTTTGATGACCAGCTTGTTCATCTCTACCTGCACGGAGACGGCGTCCTGCGGGACGCCGGGCAGCTCGACTTGCAGCGTCGCCTTGATGGAGGAAGCGCGCAGCTTGTAGCTCGGCTGGACCGTCGCGCACGAGTGGCACGAGTGGCACGAGCTCCCGCGCGCCCCGCGCCGCAGGTTCGCGGCGAGGGGCGACAGGTGCAGGTCCCAGAACGGGTCTCGAAAGAAGGGAGTGTGGAAACCCATTGCAGCGCCGCGTGCGAGCTGGGAGGACGTGGGCGTGAGCGGCAAAGGTTTTTTTTTTTCTTGCTGGGACGCGAGGGGGGGATTAGGGTGGCGAAGATTTCAGCTTGCCAAACGGGGTGGCCCTTACAGCGAAGAGGTTCGATACTGCATAAACGCGCATACGGTTGTGTTTTGCTTGGGCTGGGGCGGTTTAAAGTGATGGAAGTGGACGAGGAGCTGGGTTTGAAGCACATTACTGAGACCAGGCCACGTGGGCAGATGTTCTGGAACAAGGGGAGGGCGGGGGGAAAGCTGCGACACAGGGAGGTTGGTTCCAGCTTGGAACGCGAATGGTACTGCATGCGAGGCAGATTGCCTCGCATGCAATGAGGTGGAATGGATGTTTGTGGAAAAGCGTGACACGAGTCACTTTTGCGGAGAGGCGCGCATGGGAATTGGATGATGCTACTATGAGGCAGAAGCAGAACAGGACGACGCATACATTCGGGAATGGGATGGCGCGCGTGTGCCGGAAAATGTCAGCGTTTTAGCTTGGGCAAGGGGCGAAAGTCGTCGAGATAAAGTTTGATAAAGCATTGTCGTTTTAAGAGGGCGTTTTGGGTTTCTTGACGACTCTGGGATGTGTTTGCCGCTTTTCAATCCAGACGTATGGTCTGTTAGGGCATTCATATCGAGATACCTCTCACTAGTCGCTTTCACAAGCGGAAGAAGCGGTAGTATGTGTAGCGAGATGTGGAATTTCGCGATGCGGTGCAATGTTTAATTAAGTATTGGAGTTAGAACGACCCTAGTTCTGCGACGTGTCCTGTTTCCAGAAACAGGAGTCTGGAATCTCCGTCGTTAAGATTTCTAGAAAAATCTTATGGCCAATGAAATAACGCCATCATCCGCCAGTTAGCGCGCCACAACCAATCACCGTGAGCCCATTTTGCAAAACGCTCCTTTTCTACCAACACATGCGCGTACGAGCATCGTTCTAGAAGAGCACAATTGGAGTCATCCGATACTCCGCCTCTCGCTTCTGGAGGGAACGTGAGCAATTCAATAAACCCTCTTCATGGAAGTGTGTCTACATGTCACTCTGAAGCCCTCCATCCGTTGCCCTCCATCCGTTGCCCTCCACACCATCAACACTCTTCTAGAATATTCACAAAGCAAACTACACCAACTCCACCCCGTTCTGCCTCTCACAAAACTCTATAAAGCCACGCATCCGAACCCCACCTCTCCGCCGACCCCGCCAAACAATCCTCACCCCCACCACAATCCACCCCTATCTCAACCGCCTTCACCCACTCCCCGAAATGATGTACGAAATCGCCCCCCTCTGCACGCGTCTAGCCTTCCACGACCGTCGACTCGCGCCGCCGTTCGCGTCCTCTCTGGGCGGGCTCTCCGCCCGCGCGCCCGCCTCCGCGGCGCCGACATGCGAGGTAGAGCCGTCTTACTCGCAGCACGGCGCGAAGGACGCCGTCTTCATCGAGGTCGAGCTGCCGGGCGTGGCGCGCGCCGACCTGCACGTCACCGTGCAGGGCCGCCGCCTCGTCGTCGTGGGCAAGCGCTTCAGGGAGCCGCCCCGGGACGCCGCTTCGGAGGAAGCCGCAGAGTCTCCGCAAAAGGCCGACGAGAAGAGCGCGGACAAACAAACCGCGAAGACGTTCAAGGCCGTCTTCCGCGTCCCGCAAATCGTCGACGTCGACGGCATTGAAACCGTCGCGCACAAGGACGGCGTGCTCACACTACGACTGCCGCACGCGAAGGCGGCGCAGCCGCGGAAGATAGAAATTCAGTAGATGCTTGCTGCTAGAGCACATGCTAGAAGGTTTCGACGGATCTGCCTGGATAGTCGACAGGTTTTTGTTAAAAGTCTTGGTTGTTGCCTTTGAAACGTTGTTGTGTTTAAAAAGTGCCGTTTGACGCTGTGAAAAGGGAGGGTTGTTTAAGGTTGCGGTCGTATGCGAAGATTGCAAAGTATGCGTTTACGTGAGCACGAGTGGGAATGGCAAATTCTCAAAAGACTACAATACACAGAAGCCACCCTGCCGCCACCGTGGCATTTCAAAAAGGGTTCCATCTCATTTCATCAGCGCTAAAGACAACACCAGTTGACCATCTACGGTAGCTATCGTATTCTGTTCTGCACATACGCGGTATGTACACATACGCAGGTACCGACGGCAGCAGTGTCGACTTCAGGGCGCAAAAACTCTCAGCATTAGGTAACGGACGTAGAACACCACCCCCCCAAAAAAAAACTGTTCTGTGCGGGAAACACCTGGTCAACTGTGCAAGGACTTGTTGAGCCTCTCCCTCGTCTTCTCGGGAGTCTCAACTTCCCACTCGCCATTGCCCTGAATCCTAAGGACCTGGTCGTGAAACTCGAGCAAAGTCGGCCTATTCCCGACGCTGATGCACGTGGCGCCCATCTCGTCAATGAGCCTATACATATCGGCCTCGTTGTCCAAGTCCAAGGCGGAGGACGACTCATCCAGCACGACGAGCTTCGGCCTCGAGATGACGATGCGTGCAAACGCGAGGCGCTGCTGCTCGCCGAGGCTGAGGCGTCTCGTGAGTGTCTCGCCGGGCGCGTCGAGGCCCGCGTCGCGGTGGATGAGATAGCCGAGGTTGACGCGGCGCAGGGCGTCCTCGACGTCGGCGTCCGTGACGTCGCCGCGCGTGCTCGGGTAGATGACGTTCTCGCGCAGGGAGCCGAGCATAAGAAACGGGCGTTGCGGGAGGAAGAGCGTGTTGCTTGCGGAAGGTCGCTCGATGGCACCGGACCCGGAGTCCCACAGGCCGCACACGGCGCGCATGAGCGAGCTCTTGCCGATGCCGGAGCGGCCGACCACGACCAGGCGCCCGCCGGCCGGCACGTGCAGGCTCAGGTTGTCGACGAGCACGCGCGGCGGGGCGCTCGGCGTCTCCACGGTGAGATGGGTCAGACGGAGCGACTGCGCCTCGTCGCTCTTGTCCAGCTCGGTGAGGATCTTGCGGCGGCCCGGGTCGCCGCGGTCCGCCAGGCTGTCCGCCAGGCCCTTGAGACGACGCACGCCGGCTCCAAACTCCGCCAGGGCGCTGAACTCCGCGACAAACAGACCTAGCGAGTTGAGAACGTGGTTGAAGGAGAAGTAGACCTGGCTGATGGAGCCGAGGCGGAGGGAACCTGCAAAGTACTGCGGGGCGACGACGACGGTGGGGACCAGCTGGGCCCAGTAGCGGAAGGAGGCGGACAGGAAGCCGACGTTGCGCTGCAACGCAAGCAGGCGCAGGTTGTTGCGGAAGGCAGACGCGAAGCGACGCTGCAGCTCCGAGCGTTCCGCATCCTCCCCCGCGTAGAAGGCGACACTCTCTGTGGCCTCACGCACGCGCACCAGGCCGAAGCGGAAGTTGGCCTCGCGTACCGCCTGCTCACGGTTTAGCGGCAGCAGACGGGCGCCGGCAAACGCGATCATGACCGTCCCCGCCGCAGAGTACGCCAGCAGGATGTATAACAACGGGGCGTACACGCGGTACAGAATGACGGCGAAGACGATAACATCGAAGAAGGCCACACCCGCGATGGTGAAAAACCTCACTGCCCTCGAAGTGAAGTTCCTCACATCCTCCGCAATCCTCTGGTCCGGGTTATCAATCTCGTTTGCGTTGACTGAGAGCGCGTAATACCTGCGATCCTCAAAGTACGCTGCCAACAGGTGCTCCGTGAGCGCGCGGCGCCACATGAGCGCGAGCCTCTCCTTCGCCCACTGGAAGAGCGCGAGGACGACGGGGCCGACGAGCACGGCCGCGCCGTACATGGCGACGAGGCGGCCGAACGACGCCGCGTCCTTACTGCTCAGGACGTTCCAGAAGAACTTCTGGATCGCGCTGAGCACGACGGCGTACATCGTAGCGGCGAACGCGAGCAGCACGGTGGCGGCGGTCCAGCCGTACGCGACGCGGCGGCGGGGGCCGCGCAGCAGCGGGCGCGCGAGGCGCCACGCGCCGGCGGCGATCTCTGCGACGCGCGCGGGCGGCGGCGGCGACGGCGG